TTTTTGATTTATTGTAGAGATGAGGTCTCGCCAAGTTGCCCAGGTGGGTCTCGAACCCACGGGCTCAGGCAATCCACTCACCCCAGCCTCCCAAAGGCACGGGATTACAGACTGAGCCACCGAGCCTGGCTAAGAAAAAAAATTTTTTTTAAGAGAGAGGGTCTTGTTGTGTTATCCAAGCTAGAGTACAGTGGCACGATCACAGCTTACTCCTGGACTCAAGCAATCCTCCCATTTCAGTCTCTCGAGTAGTTGGGACTATAGATGCATATCATCACACCCAGATAAACTATTTTATTTTATTTTGTAGAGATGGGGTTTTACTATGTTGACCAAGCTGGTCTTGAACTCCGGGTCTCAAGTGATCCTCCAATCTCAGTCTCCCAAAGTGCTGGATTACAGGCATGAGCCACCATGCCCAGCCTAGTCTTTTTATAAAAACTTTGTATAAAAAACACTGTAACTTCCGTCTAGGGTACTCGCTCTGGTTTGACTACTCTCTCTGGTCGAAATCTGCGGCTATATGGTGAGGGAGCTCCGTGGAAAGGCCCATGTGGCAAGGAATATGGCCTGCCAACAGCCACATGAATGAGTTGGGAAGCAGAATCGTGAGGTGACTGCAGCTTCAGCCAACCCCTGACCTGCAGGTGTCTGAGAGAACCTGATGCAGAACCACTTTGCTAAGTTGCTCTTAGATTTCTCACCCACAGAAACTCTGAGAAAATAAATTTCTGTTGCTTTCAGTCATCAAGTTTAAGGTAATTTGTTACATAGCAATAGATAAAATAAATAAGTAGATGTGAAAACTACACAACTTAAGATTTTAAGTTGAATATCTTACTCTACTATAGAATGTAGCAAAATTTAAAAATATAAATTAAAAACACCAATAAAAATGTTAATAAAGCTGACATTAAAATTTTAAACTTTTGTTTAAAAAACACGATAAATAAAGGTAAAAGAAAAGCAACAATTTGAGAAACAGCATTTTATAGTACATATAAAGAAGAATTACTATGCAGAATATATAGAACCATAAACAAAAACCCCAACCAAACAGAAAAATGGTTGCAAAGGAAACAAATATTATGACTAGGCAATTCAGAAAGAAAAAATAGGTTATAAATGATCAAATAAAAAGATGTTCAATTTCACTAGTAAACAGGAAAATGCAAATTAAGGCAACCATTATTCCTCGGATTGGCAAAAAAATAAACACATTTGACAGTACTTCAAAACAATGGAATCTACTGATCAACCTAACACCACAAATAGAAAGACAAAGGTAGCAATAAATACACAGTACACTTAATATGTAACATGGCAATATTACAGAAGTATTCTATAAACAATGTCACATACTCAAACAGTAATTCTTGATGGATAGTCACATTAAGAGGAATAAATAAAGACTATAAATAAGGCCTTACAGGTGGCTAATGCCTATAATCTCAGCGCTGTGGGAGGTTGAGGCAGGAGGACTCCTTGAGCCCAGGAGTTGGATACTAGGCTAGGCAACATAATGAGACCGCATCTCTACAAAAAGTCAGCCATGTATGGTTGCATGTGCCTGTAGTCCCAGCTACCCAGGAGGCTGAGGCAGAAAGATCATCTGAGCCCAGAAGATTGAGGCTGTGGTGAACCGTGATTGTGCCACTGCACTCCAGTCTATGCAACAGAGTAAAACCCTGACTCAAAAAATTTTTAAAAATTTTAAAAAAGAAAGAAAAGAAAAGAAAAATAAGTCAGGTGCAGTGGCTCACGCCTGTAATCCCAGCACTTTGGGAGGTTGAGGTGAGAGGACTGCCTAAGCCCACAGGTTCAAGACCAGCCTGGGCAACATGGTGAGACCTTGTCTCTACAATTTAAAAAAAAAAAAAAAATCAGCTGAGTGTGGTGGTGCAAGTCTTTAGTTCCAGCTACTTGAAAGGGTGAAGAGGAAGGATCACCTGAGCCCAGCAGGTTGAGGTTGCAGTGGCTGTGAGCCTGCCACTGCACTTCAGTCTGGGTGACAGAGTGAGACTCCTGACTCAAAAAAAAAAATTAAAAGTAAATTTACAAAGAAATTATAAAGCTCTCTGACAAATGAGGAAATGTGTAGGGTATAGATGAGATAAGACTGACCAAATGCTGATGGATGTAAAAGCAGGATGATAGATACTTGAAATACTGGAGTTTCTTATATTATTACCTCTACTTTGATTAACATATGAACATTTCCATAACATAAAGATTTTATAAAGTCTGGCAATGCTAAGTCATGAAGTAAATGTGGGGAAGGGAAATGTTCAGACATGGTTGACAGGAGTGCCAATCCCTTATGAACAAAGCTAAAAAGCTCAAAAATCTAAAAAGCTCAGAACACAAAATTCTGGGGGACTCATTTGGCTGCAAAATCAGACCTGAACTGTGCGAGGCTAGTTATAATTTTTCTTTATTCCTCTTAGTGTGACTATACAAAAATGATTACTGTTTTGAGTATATGGCACTCTCTACAAAATACTTAATAGGAGAATCCTGCAATCTTACCATAATACATGCCAAAAACTCAGAATTCTGAAATACATTTGGTCCAGACAATTTTAAAGAAGAAATTCTGTACCTGTACAACCACTTTAGAGACCAATTTTAAATAATGTCTATTTTACAAGCAGCAATTCCACTTTAAGGCATATATTCTAGAAAAACTACACCTTTTCACCAGAGATATCTACTAGGGACATCTGACTATAGCATTCTTTATGACAGTGAATTTTTTTTTTTTTTTGAGTTGGAGTCTCACTCTGTTGCTCAGACTGGAGTGCAGTGGCCGCTTCCGGCCACCGCAGCCTCGACTTGCTGGGCTCCGGCGATCCTTCCACCTCAGCCTTCCAAGTAGCCAGAATTACAGGCATGCGCTACCACGCCCGGCTGATTTTTTGATTTATTGTAGAGGTGAGGTCTCGCTGCCCAGGCGGGTCTCGAACCCGCGGGCTCAGGCAATCCACTCACCTCAGCCTCCCAAAGGCACGGGATTACAGGCTGAGCCACCGAGCCCGGCTGACAGTGAATTTTTTAAACAACCTAAATGATAGCCAATAAAAAAGTAACTAGCTGGGATCACATGAGCCCAGCAGGTGGAGGGTGCAGTGGTCATGAGTATGCCACTGCACTCCAGCCTGAGTAACGACAGTCCAAAAAAAAAAAAAGAAAGAAAGAAGGGAATTATAAGTAGGATGGGAGAAAGGAAAGTTTTATGATAAGCTTATTTTTAATGTTGCACATCTCTTACAGAATACTGATGGGTTTTGGGCAGAAGGGGATACATTTATCTCATCTTCCCTTAAGTATTTCTCATTAATCTCAGAGGTCCAAGATGAGTCTGCAACTCCTTCAGCTTAATTAGTGCCCCATAGTCACGAACTAAATCACTTATTTCTAGATTCTTTGGAATCTAACTAATTCAAAGGTTTTCTTTAAACTTTACTCCTTTAGTAAACACTAACCCAGTGTCTAGGAATACTGTATGTAACACACCTGGTGCTTGAGAACCTTAGTAGCAGAATTTTACATAATAATTCTAGATTCTACACAAATTTTATATAATAACTCCAGAACTGTAAGCTACATAAAATAGATTTGTCCCATAAGGCAAATTGAGAAAGAAGAAGAAAAAATTTGGATTGAAGGGGAAAAACAACACAGATGTACATGTTTAAAATAAAATTGACCTTTTATATTTAATTAAATAGGTCTACCTGGAATTTCAATATTTTAATTTTCTATTTATCAGTATAATATATAAAGGAAGCATTATTTATTCACTCTGATATATTACAATGCAATTTTACAATCTGAAGTAGTTGGTTTTATTTACTATTAGTGTTTTGGGTTTTTACTTTTATTTATTTTTTTTTTTTGAGTTGGAGTCTCACTCAGTCGCCCAGACTGGAGTGCAGTGGCCGCTCCTGGCCACCGCAGCCTCGACTTGCTGGGCTCCGGCGATCCTTCCGCCTCAGCCTTCCGAGTAGCCGGAATTACAGGCACGCGCTACCATGCCCGGCTGATTTTTTTAAAATTTATTTATTGTAGAGATGAGGGCTTGCCAAGTTGTCCAGGCGGGTCTCAAACCCACGGGCTCAGGCAATCTACTCACCTGAGCCTCCCAAAGCATGGGATTACAGGCTGAACCACCGAGCCCGGTTTGGGTTTTTATTGAGTCAGAGTCTCACTCTGTCACCCAGGCTGGAGTGCAGTGGCACTCACAGCCACCGTAGCCTTGACCAGCTAGGCTGAGGTGATCCTTCCACTTCAGTCTTCCAAGTAGCTGGAACTACAGGCACACGCCACCACGCCCAGCTAATTTTTTTGATTTATTGCAAAGACGAAGTCTTTCCAAGTTTCCCAGGCTGGTCTTGAACCAGTGGGTGCAGACAATCCTCTTGCCTCTGCCTCCCAAAGTGCTGGGATTACAGGCATGAGCCACTGTGCCTGGCTTCTTTTTAGTTCAATAGGCATTTAAATTAATTAACTAACATTCACCTGTCACCTACCAAAATAAAAATGTATTATCTCAGGAAAATTACATTTTCACAGTGGATTATGCTTGCTGCTGACCTTTTAAAATAATTCTTAAGAAAAGTACCTGCATTGACAAATGGGATTCCATCATATGGAACATACTGAGATTTCCACATCAAGCGTGTAGCAGGCTTGGCTGGGCTTGGAGACTGGCGGGTGCCCCAAACACTCTGTGTTTGCTGTTTATGAAATGTTAGCACACTTTCTAATTCAGTCTCACTTATACAGTAGCCACGGTATGAATCTCCAATTTTCTGCATGCGATAAAAATTAAATAACAAAATTATTAGCAAATGTACTTCATTGCAAAATAAATTTAATGAGATGGTTGTCCAAAATGAAAGACTCATCACCTTTCCAGGAGAATGTAGTTTGTCTTCTCAGACAATAATCTATTACAACCAGTGGGTCTGAGTTCAACCAGTATCATTAAATAGATATTTTCCAGGTATTTGTTAGGAAATATAACACCAAACTCACTGCCATACTATGTTTTTCAAAGTCTTGCTTGAGAGAAAAAATATTCAGAAAGTATAGATCAAGACCATACAGAGTATTCTTCCAAATATTTAAAATTCTACCCTTGAATCAAACCAGATCTGTATAAAACAAACCACAAAGTACTGGTTCCCTGTGAGCTTCTTTTACTGAAGTTGATTTTTATATAATGCTATGCATCTGTTTGAAACCTTATGAAAATTGTGCTTGTGTCTCATATAAAAATGTAGAATTTGCTCATTTTATCAGTATTCTTTTTCATGACAAGCCCCTTCTGAGAACTCCTTTCTGGCCTTATATCAAAAATAGTTAATGGTTTCCTTTTATCTTATGGAAACTAGCATAAAACTTTTAAATCTAATACGCAGAGAACCTAGTTAACTAACTACTTTTCCCTTTTGAAATACGGATATTTAAATTATAGACAGGTGTGCATATGCATATATATTATATGCACACAGATTGTTAAGATATATATTTTCTTACTTCTATTTTATAATCCTAGTCTTGTTTTTCTTTATTGTTTAACTTCACTTTTAATTTCCATTTTGATAATCTATATTATGTACTTTTGTAAGCTGCCTTAAATTCTTTCTGAAGTAAGTCAAGCTATAAATAAATCATATAAATAAATGGATATTATATACACACAACCATTTGAGTATTCCCTATACTAGAGGAGAAGATTTTTCTATACCAACTAAGAAAATTTGTTTACTGCAATCTCTTACAAAGAAAATACACACAGACCTAGCATTTGGATTCCATGTATTCCCCCCACCAGAGGAAATAAGAACAGAGATGTGGGCATAGAGATCTTGTTCCCTTTCATTAGACTAAATAGTTCACCTTGGAAGAATACATTTAATAAAAAGAAAGGTATCAAAATACTATTGTGGCTGTACTTTTGGCCATTACAAAAATAATCTGATACCAAAAAATTTATCATCTACAATTTCCCCCAAAATAATGAAAATGTTTATGTTTAACAGTTTTATTTTAGCCTAGATATTTCTTTACCAAAATGTTCACTACAAATAAAAGGAGGCATATAAAGTCTAGTTGTAATACTTTTATGTAAATAAAACGAATAAAATATATACTGTTGTTAATAAAAGGGAAAATTAAGAGTCAGTATAATATAATCAGGCCTATATACAGACCTATAAATAGACCTATAGACAAAAGTTTAATATAGTATTGAAATTTGTTCAATTAATACACTTTGGTCAAATCTGAAAAAATTGCTTACAGAAAAGCATCACTGGCCAGGAGCAGTGGCTCAGGCCTATAACCCCAGCACTATGGGATCGCTTGAGGCCAGGAATTCGAGACCAGCCTAGGCAACATAGCAAGACCTTGTCTCTACAAAAAAATAAAAAAAAATTAATCAGGCATGGTGGCATGGACTTGTAGTCCCAACTACTTGAAGCTGAGGTGGAAGGTCACCTGAGCCTAGGAGTTTGAGCCTATGGTGAGCCACAATTGTGCCACTGCTCTACAGTCTGGGCAACAATGTGAGACCCCGACTCAAAAAAAAAAAGAAAGAAAAAGAAAAGTATCATTAAATGAGAAATTCAAAAAGTAAAAAAGATTACTAAACAATATTTTGAAGCAAAATATTTCTTCAGTCATTAACCAAAAATGTTTTTCATTACTGATATAGCTTAGGAGATGAGAAAGAATCCTTCACTGGGAAAGAAATGGTTGTTCATTTTGGACAACCATATTAGTCTATTGTACAGTAGGAACTAGTTTCTTACATAGTGTACCATACTTGTAAAATAAGGTGATTTGAGCCAAGCTCGTTGGCTCAGCCTGTAATCCCATACTTGGGGAGACTGAGGTGAGTGGATTGCCTGAGCCCACGGGTTCGAGACCCGCCTGGGCAACTTGGCGAGACCTCCCTCATCTCTACGATAAATAAAAAAATTAGCCCGGCATGGTAGTGCCTGCCTGTAGTTCCAGGCTTCCATGGTAAGCACGCGCTACCATGCCCGGCTGATTTTTTAAAAATTTATTTATTGTAGAGATGAGGTCTTGCCAAGTTGCCCAGGCGGGTCTCAAACCCACGGGCTCAGGCAATCTACTCACCTGAGCCTCCCAAAGCATGGGATTACAGACTAAACCACCGAGCCCGGCTTGGGTTTTTATTGAGTCAGAGTCTCACTATGTCACCCAGGCTACTAGGAAGGCTGAGGTGGAAGGATCACTGGAGCCCAGCAGGTCGAGGCTGCAGTGGCCGGGGGCGTGCCACTGCACTCCAGTCTGGGCGACAGAGTGAGACTCCAACTCAGAAAAAAAAAAAAGATTTGCTTAAAACAATGAAGCATTTTAATAGTTAAAATATTCATTACCATCTATGGTTGATATACAGAGAAGGCATGGTCCCTTCTCTCAAAAAGTCTAATTGTTACATAATAATGAACAACATAAGCTAGAAAATAATTAAGAATGATAATGACAATAAATACCAAATTATTTATTTATTTATTTTAATTTGGTTTTTTTTTTAAACATGTGTGGTACAATTCAGGATTATATAAGTGGTCATAGTAGAGGTAAAGTTTGGGCCACCCTTTAATACCAAAGAACCATTATATAAACATGGAACTTAGGAAATGGGGCTAGTCATGGCATGGTAGACAATTTCGGTTTGGAATATGGTGAATTTGAGGCGAAATTTAAAGAGAAAAACAGGTAAAGGAGAAAAATAATTATTAGATAATTTACAGAAAAGATATGGAGGACTTAGATGAGGATTTGAAGAACAGTTAGAAATAGTAAATTGAAAAAAAAACAACACATAAGAAATGGAAAATGAAGCCGGGCTTGGTGGCTCAGCCTGTAATCCCGCGCCTTTGGGAGGCTGAGGTGAGTGGATTGCCTGAGCCCGTGGGTTCGAGACCCACCTGGGCAGCAAGACCTCATCTCTACAATAAATAAAAAAAAAATCAGCCAGGCGTGGTAGTGCATGCCTGTAATTCCGGCTACTTGGAAGGCTGAGGCGGAAGGATTGCTGGAGCCCAGCAGGTCGAGGCTGCGGTGGCCGGGAGCGGCCACTGCACTCCAGTATGGGTGACAGAGTGAGACTCCAACTCAAAAAAAAAAAAAAGAAATGGAAAATGGGGCCAGGTGCAGTGGCTCAGCCTGTAATCCCAGCACTTTTGGAGGTCAAGGTGAGAGGATTGCCTGAGCCCGGGGGCTCGAGACCAGCCTGGGCAACTTGGTGAGACCTCATCTCTACAATAAATCACAAAAACTAGCAGGGTGTGGTGGTGTGTGTCTGTAGTTCCAGTTACTTGGAAGTCTGAGGCAGAAGGATCACCTAAGCCCAGCAAGTTGAGGCTCTGGTGGCTGTGAGCATGCCACTGCACTCCAGGCTGGGTGACAAGAGTGAGACTCCAACTCAAAAAAAAAAAAGAAAGAAAGAAAGAAATGGAAATAAAAATGAGTGAAGAAGCTAAAGAAAAATTCTGGTCTGGAATGTCTGTAAAAAGTAAGAGGACCAGGCTAACAAGAGTAAAGATGAATTTGAGAAAAGTAGAAAATAAAATAGGACAAGATAGTTTGATACCCAGATTATGGAAGATTTTTTTGAATCAGGGTCTCACTCTGTCACCCAGGCTGAAGTGCAGTGGCACTGTCACGGCTCACTGTAGCTTCAAACTCCTGGATTAAAGTAATTCTCCCGCCTCAGCTTCCCAAGGAACTAGGACTACAGGAACATGCCACCACAACTGGCTAATTTTGTTTGTTGTTTTTTTTTTGTAGAGATGAGGACTTGTTATGTTACTCAGGCTGGTCTTGAACTGCTGGGCTCAAGTGATCCTCCCACTGCAGCCTCCAGCCTCAGTCTCCCAAAGTGCTGGGATTACAGGTGTAAACCATCATGCCTAGCTGGATTATATATGGTTTGAAAGCTAACTACAGTGGCTAAACAATGTGGAAAAAATAGCACAGGCAGAACGTGGTGGCTCATGCCTACAATTCCAGCACTTTGGAAGGTCAAGTCAGGAGGACTGCCTGAGTGCAGGAATTCAAGTCTGAAGTTAACTATGATCACACCACTACACTCCAGCCTGAGCAACAGAGTAAGACCCTGTCTCTTAAAATAAATAAATAAAATAACACAACTTGTTGGACAGCAAGAAAAGACAATGAAAGCAGTATCTGAATATAAGTAGTCTTAGAGAAATATACATTAGGAACCAGAAATGAAAGAGTCAAAGATATCAGAGGGAAGGCTATTATTGTAATCAAGCACATGATGATGACAAAAGTCTATGGAAGAATAGGGTCAAAAAAGGTACTTTAAAGGAAAAACAAAAAGAACCTGGTGACCACCTAAATATGGGAAAGGAAGAAATTGAAGAATTTAAAGAAGAAATTAAGAGTCTAAAACTCTGTGCCTGAGTATCTCAGGAAATGATATTTGGAACTTAGGAAGTGGGACTAACCATGCCATGGTAAACAATTTCAGTTTGGAATATGGTGAATTTGAGGTGAAATCCAAATAAAGCTTCAAAAGTTGTCAGATATCTGAGACAAGAGTAAGAACAGAATTTGAAAAATAGTGATACAGAATTAGGAATCATTTTTATAAATATGAGAGTTGAAAATCAACAAAGTAGGGAAGCACTCCAAAAGACAAAATATAGAAAAAAAAAATACAGAATATAAAAAAAAAAAGACAATGTCAAAAAGTGAGCCTTGAAGAATTTCTGCTAAGAATATGAAAAGGAGTAAGTGAACACCACAAAGTGCACCTGATCCTAAAAATCAGGGGAATTGAAGACTAGTTGGATGCCCACCTTGACTTGTATATACATTACTTATGTACCTAATCCTGACTTGTACTCCACATCTTTATAACAAAATAAAGTAAAAAATAATAATAATAAATGCAAGCATGAACATGATAGTAAAATTTCATGAACTACAAGGGAAGAGTTGCAAGAAAAGAAATGATAGTGAAATGTGAAGGGATTTATATGACCTCTGCCTTAACAGAGCTCACAATCTCTAAAGGATAACAGAATAGATGAGATCAGATTTAGCATAAACACAAACAAAATAATACAAATACAGCCTATATTATCTGTACCCAAAAGTGGGCATTTGGGGATGAATTGTGGTTATAACCAATTAAGTAATTCTAGGTGATAAGTATCTTAACTCACCTCACAGCTCCTAAGACGGCAGGCCCATATAGGAGTATTAGAAGAAAGTGGCTGAAGAGAAGCCAGAAAAGGTTCTTCAGGCATTCTGTGAGAGGGAGATATAACCATACAGTTACACACACACACACACACACACACACTGCATTCAACTGCCTTATCCTCCTATTCAGTGTTAAAGATAATACATTGAGGTGGTCAATAAGAAATTTTAACAATGACTACAGATTGATCTGATGGGTATGCCATTTATCAGTCTTTAATTATTACTATTTTATTAACTGCTAAGCCAAAGGCCTAAGTGTGTTCTTCCAGGTACCTATACTCCCAAACTCACGTATTTTATATATCTCTCCAAAAATTTATTTTGCACTCTTATTATATAATTATTTTCATTTATCAAAAAATGATTAATGTGACTATTACATTATGTATCACTTCTTGGTCTTTTGGTCAAGATCAAGTAAAGAATAACATGTAAGTTCCAAGATTAAATGTCATAAATATTGTCTTAAATCAAGAATACTTTCATAAAATGGTTAAATGAATACTTGTATAAATACGCAAACCACATATATATTTACCTAATTTATCATAAACTGGTTTTTTGTTTTTGTTTTTGGGTTGGAGTCTCACTCCTGTCGCCTAGGCTGGAGTGCAGTGGCACATTCACAGCCACCGCAGCCTTGATCTGCTGGGACTTAGGCAATCCTTCCACCTCAGCCTTCCAAGTAGCTGGAGCTACAGATGCATACCACCACGTCCGGCTAGTTTTTTTGTGTGATTTATTATAGAGATGAGTTCTCACCAAGTTGCCCAGGTTGGTCTTGAACCCCATGGGCTCAGGCAATCCTCTTGCCTCGGCCTCCCAAAGTGCTGGGATTATAGGCTGAGCCACTGTGCTCAGCCTAACAGTGTTATTTTAAGGTAAAAGTAAAAACTGAAATAGAAGTTAGCAAAAAACATTTTAAACTCTTTACCACAGAGGAATTATATAGATAAAAATGTGATAAACAAAACACTTTAGGAATAGAATGAATATTTTCTTTATTCTAAAAATTCTATTACTGTCATATGTTTTTGTAGTGCTTCAAAAGATAAGAGGAGTCACTGAGGAAGAGCAGCACTTTTAACATTTATAGCTTCTAGGATAGCATACTAATCGCCAAGATGCCATTACAATAATTAAAGATATATTTAATGATAGTTTCTTCTATTTTCTAAATTTCTGGCATTTTCTACAGTCAGCCAGATTTAAATGTGACAATTTATAAAAAGGTTTCCATGGTGATATTAACAGACAAGCTCTTCAGCCAGGCTTGGTGGCTCACGCCTGTAATCCCAGCACTTTGGAAGGCGGAGGTTAGAAGACTGCCTGAGTCCACGGGTTTGAGACCAGCCTGGGCAACATGCCAAGACCTCATCTCTACAATATATCAAATAATTAGCTGGGCATGGTGGCATACACCTGTAGTTCCAGAAACTTGGAAGGCTGAAGTGAAAGCAATGCCTGAGCCCAACAGGTCAAGGCTACAGTGGCTGTGAGTATGCCACTGCACCCCAACCTGGGTGACAAAGTGACATTCAACTCAAAAAAAAAAAAGATGAGCTCTTCTTTCTCACTGACTTACCTGGTCATTGACTTTTTGGGCAACGTGAGGGATGTCTGTGGATGAAGAATGTAACCAGTGGTAGTGTCTGCTAAAGCATCCACTCTTAAAGATGGTAAGTTTCTGTCACTGGGTTTCTCTTCAGAGACATCTTCACAACAAAAACAAGAACAAGCAACATCAGTATCTCGAATAACACCTTGAGAATGTTCCTAACAAAAATGTATATATTTGTAATAAGTAAAGGAATAAGTGCTCTGATGCTAAAGATAACAAAACTTGGAAGACTGAGGCAGAAGGATTGCCTGAGCCCAGCAGGTCAACGCTGGGATGGCGGTGAGCGTGCCACTGCACTCTAGCCTGGGCGACGGAGTGAGACCCCAACTCAAAAAAAAAAATAAAGATAACAAAACTTCTAATGCTTTACTGAGAATTTCTCTGATAAACTAGTTTTCTTTAAAACTATTTTATAACTAAGTTTTTGAAACTTAAATGGAAAAACTAGAATATAAAGGTGATAGAAACAATTGTTAAATTAAGAATTTCACATTTCATAGGAAAATGTAAAACCCTTATTTGTTTACATGCTGTGCTTACAATGTTTTCTGCAAAATATGTGTTTTTTTGCATTTTAACGACTATTAACAAAGACAAAGAATCATAACACTAAGGTAAATCATCTGCCCTAAAGCTTTGTCTATGAAAGAGGAACAAAACAGTGTAGTTAGAAAATAAATTTAAGTAGATGAAAAAGGGAGAAAAGCGAAAGGAAGAGAACTAATAGGAATATTATCAAACAGGTAAAAAAAGAATATATAAACAAATAGGGAGTATGATTCTCCTTCTAAAACTGAAGGGACTAAAGACAGGACAAGAGCAAGAGGATAAAAAGGGTAGTTAAAAAAAATGTAATGAGTCACACGGCTAACAATAATATTGATAAAACACAAATATAAAAACTTTTCCAGCCGGGTTCGGTGGCTCAGCCTGTAATCCCGCGCTTGGGAGGCTGAGGTGAGTGGATTGCCTGAGCCCGCGGGTTTGAGACCCGCCTGGGCGGCGAGACCTCATCTCTACAATAAATAAAAAAATCAGCCGGGCGTGGTAGTGCACACCTGTAGCTCCAGCTACTTGGAAGGCTGAGGCGGAAGGATCACCGGAGGCCAGCAGGTCGAGGCTACAGTGGCCGGGAGCGGCCACCGCACTTCAGTCTGGGCAACAGAGTGAGACTCAAACTCAAAACAAACAAAAAAACGCTTTTTTCCCCCCCTGTAGCTATTAGCACTATATTCATGTTATTGTTGCTGTTATTATTACTGTTATTATAATTAAGAAGAATTTATTTTATGCTCACTGGTCATTTGGGAGGAAGCAGGAGTCAACCAGTTTCATAGAATTCCAAAATAAAATAGCTAACCTAGACAGGAGTTGAAAATAAACTTAAAATTTATTTGGGTCAAGAAATGTTTTCTAATTATTCAGTTCACAATCTTACCTAAATTGATCAATGTTAGCACTGATTCTAATGAGGTGATTTTCTAAAATATATGTTTGTTCTTTAAAACATTCTTGAATCCCCTATAGCCCATTATTACTCACCCTGAGGACTAACCACATCCACAAGCTGCTCCTGGGGTATAATCACTTGTGCCATTCCTGTCTGGGTAGTTGGAATCACACGAAGTACCCGTCCATTTTCTGATGGGCTGGCAACAATCATCTTGGAAGCATTAAAAAAAAAAAAAAAGTATATGCCTACACTGATTTAACAAAATTATGGCCACTGCTTTGTTAAACACTGCTGTGGCCACCTGACTCTTTGAGCTATGGCTGCCATGTTTCCAAGTTTTGCCATCCCTTCCACCTTGGGGAAGTGAAACTCCTCTCTCTCTGATTTGTTTTCTAAATAAACTATATTTTCCAATCTAAAATAATAATAATAATAACAGAGCAACTTAGAAAACTTTTTCTGGAACTTTCCGTATTTCAATTAAAACTATCTTTCATCTTTTCTATTCAAATTATAAATTTGGTAAAAAAAACAAAACAAAACAGCTGGGCTCAGTGGTTCAGCCTTGTAATCCCAGCACTTTTGGAGGCTGAGGCAAGTGGATTGCCCGAGACTGCAGGTTCAAGACCTACCCGGGCAACTTGGCAAGACTTTGTCTCTACAATATATCAAAAAAAATTAGCTGGGTGTGGTAGTGTGCGCCTGTAGTTCCGGCTACCTGGAAGGCTGAGGTGGAAGGATCACTGGAACCCAGCAGGTGGAGACTGCGGTGGCCGAGCGTATGCCACTGCACTCCAGTCTGGGCAACAGAGTGAGACTTCGACTCAAAAAAAAAAAAAAAAAAAAAAACCCAAAAAACCAAAAAAAACCATACTTTAAGGTAACAGCTTAAAAAGTATTTAGGCAGCCAGGCTCAGTGGCTCAGCCTGTAATCCCGCACCTTTGGGAGGCTGAGGTAAGTGGATTGCCTGAGCCTGCGGGTTCGAGACCCGCCTGGGTAAGTTGGTGAGACCTCATCTCTACAATAAATCAAAAATTAGCTGGGCATGGTAGCACACGCCTGTAGTTCCAGCTACTTGGAAGGCTGAGGCGGAAGGTTCACCGGAGCCCAGCAGGTCAAGGCTGTGGTGGCCGGGAGTGGCCACTGCACTCCAGTCTGGGTGACAGAGTGAGACTCCAACTCAAAAATAAAATAAAAATAAAAAAATAAAAAGTATTTAGGCATTCTCATCTTTTTTATCTTTATACACTAGTTTTTACCTGATACATATTTACAGACATGTCTTTACAAAGATCAGAATTCCCAGTTTACCAAGGTATCTCCATTGCTTTATTTTTCTTCAAGACAGCACACCAGCAGGGCGCAGTGGCTCAGCCTGTAATCCCAGCACTTTGGGAGACCAAGGCAAAAGGATTGCTTGAGCCCGGGGGTTTGAGACCAGCCTGGGCAACTTGGTGAAAACTTGTCTCTAAAATAAATCACAAAAACTAGCCAGGTGTGGTGGTGTGCGTCTATAGTTCCAGCTGCTTGGAAGATTGAGGCAGAAGGATCACTTAAGCCCAGCAGGTCAAGGCTGTGGTAGCCATGAGCGTGCTACTGCACTCAAGCCTGGGTGACAAGAGTGAAACTCCAACTAAAAAAAAAAAAAAAGAAGAAGAAAGCACACCAGCATGTGGTATGTAAGTTAGTGAGTTGAGATACTGATAAATCAAAAACTTGAGTTCAGTCTAATATATATATGTATATAATATATATATTTATATTTAAGTGTAAATTATATGTTAACTCTTGTACTTTAGCACTACTTACAGATTATGTTACATTTCCAACTCATCTCAAAGCACCAGAGTACCTAGACTTAGCAGCTGAGAAGTACTGGTTTAAATACTATTTGCAGTCCTGAATGGAAATCTTTTAAATTCTTACATAAAAATAAAAGTCATAGAAACAGTATTTTCTTTTCTTTTTGAGTTGGAGTCTCACTCTGTTGCCCAGGCTAGAGTGCAGTGGCATGCTCACGGCCACTGCAGCGTTGACCTGCTGGGCTCAGGCAATCCTTCTGCCTCAGCCCTCCAAGTAGCTGGAACTACAGGCGGCACTATCATGCTTGGCTTATGAAACAGTATTTTCAACACAATGTAAATAGGGTCAGAAAATTAAGTTAATTCAGTAAAACTAATATATTTTGTTAAATAGCGTAAAACTAGTTACTTAGAGAATATACTCACCATTTGTGCATTAGACTCCTCCACTGACTGAAGTTCATATTGAATAGGTTGCCCATTTTGGTCCAATAGATGGAACTGCTCTGCAGAAAGAGTCTGTGTCTGAGTCAGTGGCTCTTGTATATTCTGTGACGTGAATGAATCATTTGCTTCAGGAGTAGTGATGGGCAAAACTGTAGGTGAATCATTTTGTCCAAAGGAAGAATCCCTGGAGTCCATACAGGTTAGATGCTTTTGGAAAGAAAAAAAAAACCATTTCAGTCTTTATAAGATATATTGTCACTATATTTTTTAAAATATAGAATGTATATAGTAAAAATGAAAAGTTATTCATTTTTCAGTTAATTATTAATTTTGGTTTTTGCAAGAGTTGTCAGTTCACACAGATTGATACAAAGTATTTCCTAAGTAGATTGTTGATTTTTCTTACACTTCATTATCTCAATTTAATTAAAATCATTCATGGGTATGCAATCTGAAATAATGAAACATAATTCAATCTACAGATTTCTCTTTGCATATTAATTTTTATAAACACATCCAAATATTAAGTAAATGCTATATTATAAAACTAAATATATGACAGAACAAGCAAATAATTAAATGCTAACTTTTTAAATACATTAAATATAACAGCTATCCCTTAAGCATAAAAAGTTATTAAGTGGTATGCTGTTTTTCCCTAGAATGGAAAAAATTTCCCACCTGAATCACTACCTCAAGTACCTGAGCATTGGTTTCTGACTCTTCACCACCATTATGGTTGATTGTTAATGAATCATTAGGCTGTTCCATGCTGTCATCATACTCAATTCCATTTTCTTCTATTATTTAATAGCTGAAAGAGTTTAAATATCTGATCAACTAAAGCACTTAATATTTTTAAGGACTGTTTTATCTTAAACAAATCTTTCATCTTTCCTACTGTGATACCCTATATAATTTACGTAAAATTATCTCCATCCTATAAATAAGAAAATTAACAATTTTTGTTAAATGAATTGCTTTGGCACCAGAATACATTCAGGGTAGAGCAAAGATTAGTATTATGTAGTTCTCTCATCCTATCTCTAATTACACTCTTCTATTGTCCTTTTAAGATTGCTTAGATGTGACAAGGTACTGCTATGCCCTTGCAAATATTTCTAAAATTCTCATTTTACAAAGATTTAATGCAAATGAAGCTTTTTAACTTTATGAATTGGGTGTGCCCTTTTACAGCATTATACAATTTTAGGAAAGATGTCTTAGTGTAGATGGACACTTTATTTACACAATTCTTACTATTAGTATACAATCATACCACTTAATATCTGTTTGACAAACTTTGAAAATAAAGAAGTATTGGCTAGGTACAGTGGTTTATGCCTGTAATACCAGCATTTGGGAGGCTGAAGTAGGAGGACTGCTCGAGCACAGGAGTATAAGAACAGCCTGGGCAACATAGCAAGACCGTATTTCTACCAAAAAAAATTTTTTTTTCTTAATTAGCTGGGTGTGGTGATAAACGCCTGTAGTCCTAGCTACTAGAAAGACTAAAGTGGGAAGATCACATGAGCTCAGGAGATTGAGGCTGTGCTGAGGTATGTGACTCCAGCCTTGTCAACAGAATGAGACCCCAACTCAAAACATAAATAAAAAAAAAATAAAGAAATATACTTTGAGCCGGGCTCGGTGGCTCAGCCTGTAATCCCGCACCTTTGGGAGGCTGAGGTGAGTGGATTGCCTGAGCCCACGGGTTCGAGACCCGCCTGGGCAACTTAGTGAGACCTCATGTCCACAATAAGTCAAAAATGAGCCGGGCGTGGTAGTGTGCGCTTGTAATTCCAGTTACTTGGAAGGCTGAGGCAGAAGGATCGCCAGAGCCCAGCAGGTCGAGGCTGCAGTGGCCGGGAGTGGCCACTGCACTCCAGTCTGGGCGATAGAGTGAGACTCCAACTCAAAAAAAAAAAGAAATATACTTTGAGCCAATTTGACCTACTACAATTGTTCTCAAACAGGGCAATTTTGTAAAGGTACAAAAACAGTCCTATTTTAATATATGGCTATAGAACATCTTTAAATTGCTTCTCCTTTAAGATTTTAAAACATCACTTGTATTTCAATCTTACTATAAAAATTTCAAAAAACTTTTAGTTTCCTCTTGACCTATTGAAGTAATAGCAATTTTATTTTATAACTTTCCATTTTTAAAAAAGTTTGTATACTGCACCTAAGAATAAAATTATTTAGAAGGGATTCTAAAATAAAAAGAGCCTTCTAATGGATTTAGAGGCGATCATACTCAGTGATCTATCACAGAAACAGAGAACAGAGTACCATATGTTCTCACTCATAAGCGAAACTTGAACAATTATAATACTATAAGAAAGGGATTGGCAGTCGAGGAAAACTGCTGGGGAGAGAGGGACACACCTCAATAACATGGGTACCTGCATAATCAACATTAGTATACCTAATCCTGAATTGTACCCCACATCTTTATAATAAAAAAAAGAAGCCGGGTTCGGTGGCTCAGCCTGTAATTCCAGCGCTTTGGGAGGCTGAGGTGAGTGGATTGCCTAAGCCCATGGGTTCGAGACCCGCCTGGGCAACTTGGCGAGACCTCATCTCTACAATAAATCAAAAAATTAGCCGGGCGTGGTAGCATGTACCTGTAGTTCCAGCTACTTGGAAGGCTGAGGCAGAAGGATCGCCAGAGCCCAGCAGGTCGAGGCTGCGGTGGCTGGGAGCGGCCACTGCACTCCAGTCTGGGCAACGGAGTGAGACTCCAACTCAAAAAAAATAAATAAATAAAATTAAATTTTAAAAAAGAGGCTTCTATTAACGGCAATATGATGAACTAGATACTATAGAAGATTCTCTTGCTACAAAATAAAAAACAGAAAGTTGACCTAAAACAAAATCTTTATTTTGTGGCCAGGCTCTGCTACAGGAAGCAACAAATATCAAAGGCCACTCTCTACCCCATGTTCTCTCAAAAACAGAAAAGCAAAAGCAGTAAGCTAAAACCAAAGAGATGAGCATAAGTAAATAGGAAACTTTCCCCAACTCCTAATATACAGGTTTGTGGCTAAGAAACTGAAGCCTGGACAAATAGCTGGTAGGGGAGGAGAACTTAAAACTCCCAAGATAACACTAAAAACCAGAAAGGTTCTGTGTGAAGAGTGTAACCTGACTTCTGGTAAGAAAAATGCACCTACTATTTAGGCTCCAGCTTCCTTTTTCACATTAAGATCAAATATTAGCTAACGATCAAGAGTATCAAACACACAGGAAATATGGTACCATGAGAGAGAGCAGATTTAGACAGTCTCTGAAGACTTTCAATATTGGGACCAACTAATACTAAATATAATAAAATTATTTAATGTTAAAAAAATAAAACAACAAGTCACAGGGATAGGCAAACAATAAAAACTATCAAAAACTTAATATGAGGCAAGGCATGGTGATTCATGTCTATAATTTCAGCACTTTGGGAGGCAAAGGGATCACCTGAGGTCAGGAGTTCGAGACAAGCCTGGGCAATATAGCGAGGAACCCAACCCCCCATCTCTATAAAGAAAGAAAATAAAACAAACAGTATAATTTGAAAAAAAAGTTGAACTTTCAGAAATGAAAAACTGCTGAAATTTAAAAGGCAAGGCCAGGTACAGTGGCTCACGCCTGTAATCCCAGCACTTTGGGAGGCAGAGGCAAGAGGATTACCTGAGCCCGGGGGTTCAAGACCAGCCTGAGCAACTTGACAAGATCTCACCTCTACAGTTAAAAAAAAAAAAAAGTTAGCCAGGCATGGTGCAAGTCTGTAGTCCCAGTTACTTGGAAGGCTGAGGCAGAAGGATCACCTGAGCCCAGAGAGTTAGCTGTGGAAGCAACAGAGAGTTGATTGTGGAGTACAGTGAGTGTGCCACTGTACTCCAGCCTGGGTGACAGAGTGAGACTCTGATGCAAAAAAAAAAAAAAAAAGAGAGAGAGAGAGAAAAACAGAATAGAGACAACATAGATGCTCCTAGACTTGTGATGGGATTACCTTCCAATAAATCCATTATAAGTTGAAAATACCGTAAGTTGAAAATGCGCAATAATCGTATATAATCAAAACTATTTTTTCACAAAAGAGAGTGAAAGACAGTTTAAGATTTTAACAAAACAGAGTTTACAATCAATATATCCTATATGAAATTCCTAAAAATTAGACTTCATAACTTTTTATTTTATTGTTTTATTTTTTATTTTTATTTTTTAATTTTTTGAGTCAGAGTCTCATTCTGTTGCCCAGGCTGGAGTGCAGTGGCATGCTCACAGCGATCACAGGCTCGACCTTCTAGGCTCAGGCAATCCTTCCGCCTCAGCCTTCCAAGTAGCTGTAACTACAGGCACACACCCCACACCTAGCTGATTTGTTTCTTTTTTTTTGGAATCTCACGCCATCGCCCAGGCTGAAGTACAGTGGCATGTTCACGGTCACCCCAGCGTCTACATGCTAGGCTCCAGAGATCCTTCCACTTCAGCCTTCCAAGTAGTCGGAACTACAGGTGCGTGCTACCACACCCGGCTAATTTTTGATTATTGTAAAGACATGGTCTCACCAAGTTGCCCAGGCTGGTCTCGAATCCCCGGGTTCAGGGAATCCACTCACCTCTGCCTCCCAAATTGCTGGGATTATAGGTGTGAGCCACCAGGCCTGGCTTTTGTTTTAAAATTTATTTTCACTTATTTGTAGAGATGGAGTCTCACTTTATGGCCTAGGCATGTCTCAAACTGTTGGCTTCAAATGACCCTCCTGCCTCAGTCTTCCAAAGTGCTAGGATTACAAGTGTGAGCCACTGCATCTGGCCCCACAAATATATACTTCATAAAAGCCAAAATTATACCAAAAAGAATTATAATTTTGGGTATGTGTGCTTTAAGGGCAGAAACAAAATACTATAGAACTAAATACTGGGTTGAATAAGTTCATAGCGCTTTTACTATTTTTAAATGGTCTTAAAGCCCAGTGGTCTTCCTGAAGGTGGAGAATCACTCAGGTCAAACTAGCCCTCTTTCAAATGACAAAACCATCTTCTTGCCTTGCTTTCCCCAATGGTATTCTCCCCATACACAACACAAATGTTTTGAGCCACTTCCAATGCCTTTACTCCTGACTCAGACAGAAGAATATGTCAGAAGCGTTCATATTTTTCCACGTGACACTCATCTTCTTTAGCCCACAAGTAGCACTAACTTTCTATAAATCTGAAAATGCAAGGTGAATTCACAAGCACAACATTGTCACTCTAAATGACAAACGATCAACTCCCAAAACTGCAGTGTTGCCATGCCAAAAACAAATGCTATGAACTTATGCATCAATCTAATAAAAGACATGTAACTCTAGAAGGAGTGATGCTAGATAATCACAATATACCAACATTTATGGCATACAGCAAAAAGCTATTTAGATCACTAAATGGAACAGAATTGAGAGTACACACACACACACACACACACACACACACACACACCCTCTATAGTTAAATGATTTTTCACAGGGGTTCCAAAAGCATTCAATGGAGAAAGAACGGTGCCAGGACAATGCCAGGACAACCGATATCCACATGAAAAAAAGTGATGTTGCAATTCTACTCAAGCTTTATACAAAAAATAATTTTAAAAAGGGGATGAAGCCAGGCTCAGTGGCTCAGCCTGTAATCCCAGCACTTTGGGAGGCTGAGGCGAGTGGATTGCCTGAGTTCATGGGTTCAAGACGCACCCAGGCAACTTGGCGAGACCTCATCTCTACAATAAATCAAAAATTAGCTATGCATGGTAGCGCGCGCCTGTAGTTCCGGCTAC